GGTGAGAGTTGTATTTCTCTCGTTAGGTCCATCAGGTCTCCCTCGCTCTTCACCGTGAAGGGGCCATTACTTGTGGTGACTTGTATTCCGGTGGGGAAATGCCACCTGTATCTGATCTTGTTAGTCTGCAGTGCTCTCATGAGTGGGCGCAGGGCTCGTCGGTACGCCAGCGTTGCAGGGGATAGGTCTGGATACAGTTGGATTTCAGCGCCATTGTGGATGAATTGTCTTTTATCCCTGGCACTTTTCAGAATGTCTTCCTTCACTTGGAAGTGTGTTAGACAGCATATTACGTCTCTAGGAGGGGAGTCAGGTGGGCCCCTGGGCTCTGTGCGCCCTAACAAATTCGATGGGCACTGTGTTCGGCCTTTGTAGGAGGGCATTAAAAATTTCCGTGAGTGTGTCCCGTATTGGGATAGTCTGGTCACATTCTTCAGGTAGCCCCCTGACTCTGATGTTTTGACGTCTCCCCCGGTTGTCTAGATCCTCTAAATGGAGGGCCATTTGGCGCAATTGTGATTCTTGCTGCTTTATAGTGCCCGTGGTGGCGTTCTGCGCCGACGTCACGTGGTCGCAATCTGCCTCCAGCTGGGCCAATTTGTGGTGAATCCCTTGCATGTCTTCCCTCAGGGCCTGGAGCTCCCCAGTGATGGATTTATGGAGGGCGGCATTGGCCTCCTTCAGGTCGTTTTTTGTGGGTAGGTTATTTATCAGTGTTACCCAGTCCAGCTGGGGTAGGGGAGTGTCAGGTGGATTTTGTACCTGGTCGTGGTGTCCATCTCTGGGAGAGGCCGGGCGGCCCGGGCCCAAGGCTTCATGGTCACCGGAGGCCTGAGAAGCATGGTCGGCCTGGGTTGTGATATACTGGCGCATGCCAGTTGATTGAGACCCTCTCGGCATTTTGGCGACCGCTGCAGCCTGTTGTGGCTTGTTAGTTTTGCCCATTGTTGTGGTAGTGGAGCTGTTTAGGCGGGTATGGGAGCTGAGCCATCCGGGAGCTCGTGGTTCACGCCGCCATTTCGTCCGGCGTCCAAGCCATGCCCCTCAATGAATATTTAAGTGTTCTTGCATAGCAAGACCACTTATTGTTATCTCACATATATATTATTATTCTTATTATAGCTAAATTTGCCACCCTAACTCCTCCCACAGTTTTTACACTACATAGACAAAAATTTACCAAAACGTCCAGATTGTTCCTGATCGGATTGCTATTACTTTGTGGAACGTTTCGCCGAATAGTTCACGGAATATCGTCGTTCTTGTGGCGCAATTTGTCCCATAGGAATGAATGGCAACGCTAGAGTGGGAGCTGGCAAAAGCTGAAAAATCAGGACATGATTTCTAAACTGCCACTACTCCCTTATTTTCAGGCCCACCTACACAAATCTTATATCAAAACGTTCAGCTATCCCTGCTGCCACTAAACATGTCAACGGCTAAGCCATAGTCCTGATAGTTTTCACAATATAATCATTTGTTTGCAACTAACGCCGTCCATTGACATTCATTGAAACTTCACTCTGCAAAGCTCAAATTTGAAGTGCAATTTCTAAACTGCAACTGTGCCTTCATTTTTAATACTTCAGAGACATACTATGCATCAAAATGTAGGTCTGGGTCTTGTGATTCTCACAATATAAAGCTCTTCGCTGTAGGATTTATAGTTTTTAAAATACGACCGTTTGAAGATGGCAACCGCCAAAATACTCTGACCTGTGCCAGGCTGCAGCAGCAAGTGATGTCATAGACAGGGCCTTTTGAACACCTGCTAATGTTTTATAAATGTATGGTTTAATGTAACTGTGCAACAACGTTGCAATTAAATGTGCTATATAAATGATAACAGTTACTCCGCCCACTCCAGTTGTAGACTACTGGTGGAGGAAAGAACACTTCACACAATTTCCCCAGAAATTGTAGCTTTTCTAGTTTTGTTCTGTATTTACAGATAAAAATGAAGGAAAGGGAGTTGAGAAAAAGGATAAACGAGTCATTTATTACACGTGAGTTTACAGAGGAAGAGGTGCTTTTTCAACTGTCAAAGGTAAAGACAAATAAGTCAATGGGACCTGATGGAATACACCCAAAGCTATTAAAAGAGCTTAGTGGTGTACTAGCAAAACCATTAACAGATTTATTTAACCAATCATTGTTAACAGGAGTAGTCCCAGAAGATTGGAAGTTAGCGAATGTTGTGCCCATTTACAAGAAAGGTAATAGGGAGGGGTCAGGCAACTATAGGCCAGTAAGCCTTACTTCAGTAGTGGGGAAAGTGATGGAAACCATGTTAAAGGATAGGATTGTTGAACATCTAAAAACACATGAATTTCAAGATCAGAAACAACATGGGTTTACTTCAGGGAGATCATGCTAAACTAATCTTATTGATTTTTTTGATTGGGTAACTAAAATTATAGATCAGGGTGGTGCAGTAGACATTGCTTACCTAGATTTCAGTAAGGCTTTTGACACTGTTGCACATAGAAGGCTTATCAATAAACTGCAATCTTTAAGTTTGGATTCAAATGTTGTTGAATGGGTAAGGCAGTGGCTGAGTAACAGGCAACAGAGGGTTGTAGTTAATGGAATATATTCGAAGCTTGGACTTGTCACCAGTGGGGTACCGTATGTCTTTTTGCTGATGATACTAAGATATGTAACAGGATTGATGTTCCAGGAGGGATAAGCCAAATGGCAAATGATTTAGGTAAACTAGAAAAATGGTCAGAATTGTGGCAACTGACATTTAATGTGGATAAGTGCAAGGTAATGCATCTTGGACGTAAAAACCCAAGGGCAGAGTACAGAATATTTGATACAGTACTAACCTCAACAAATGAGGAAAGGGATTTAGGGGTGATTATTTATGATGACTTAAAGGTAGGAAGACAATGTAATAGAGCAGCAGGAAATGCTAGCAGAATGCTTGGTTGTATAGGGAGAGGTATTAGTAGTAGAAAGAGGGAAGTGCTCATGCCATTGTACAGAATACTGGTGAGACCTCACTTTGAGTATTGTACACAGTACTGGAGACCGTATCTTCAGAAGGATATTGATTCCTTAGAGAGGGTTCAGAGAAGGGCTACTAAACTGGTTCATGGATTGCGGGATAAAACTTACCAGGAAAGGTTAAAGGATCTTAACATGTATAGCTTGGAGGAAAGACGAGACAGGGGGGGATATGATAGAAACATTTAAATATATAAAGGGAATCGACACAGTAAAGAAGGAGACTATATTTAAAAGAAGAAAAACTACCACAACAAGAGGACATAGTCTTAAATTAGAGGGACAAAGGTTTAAAAAATAATATCAGGAAGTATTACTTTACTGAGAGGGTAGTGGATGCATGGAATAGCCTTCCAGCTGAAGTGGTAGAGGTTAACACAGTAAAGGAGTTTAAGCAAGCGTGGGATAGGCATAAGGCTATCCTAACTATAAGATAAGGCTAGGGAATAATGAAAGTATTTAGAAAATTGAGCAGACTAGATGGGCCGAATGGTTCTTATCTGCCGTCACATTCTATGTTTCGCCCAATGCTCTTGGATAAGGTCTAGGGGTCCCCTTACTCGTCTCCCGTAAAACAATTCAAATGGGGAAAACCCATGGATTCCTGGGGCACCTCCCGATAAGACTGTTCCCAGTCTCTTTAAGTGGCCGTGAACGTCCTTAGTATTTGTTTAACAGTTCCATTGAACCACTCACAGAGACCGTTACTGTGGGGGTGATATGGGGAGCTCATGAGGGGTTTTATCCCACAGACTCTCCACAGCTGATGGGTACGGTGTACCCTGGTCAGAAAGAATCTCCCGGGGAAATCCGTATCGGCCTGGATGTTTGATACAGCCATGGCCTCAGGGTACTGGGTGGCATAGTCCACTACAGTGAGGATAGAACGCTTACCAGAGAGACTAGGTTGGGCTAAGGGTCCTATCGGGTCCACCGCTACCCGACTAAAGGGCTATTCAGTAATGGGCATGGAAACCATCTTAGCCTTTGGGTGGTCTCCACTTTCGCTTCCACGCTGGCATTCCTCAAGTCTGTCAATACCGCCGGAAATCATTGGATACTCCAGGCCAGAAAAAGTTCTGGGTTATCCTGGAACTCTGCAGCTCCTCCAGGGTTACCTTAGGTCTCTGTGTTGCCTCTCTGATTAATGCCCTTCTTGCCCAGTCCATGAGTTTTGGTGGGCGGCCGTCTCTTGGCAGGTTTGCTGTTGTGCCATGTTCTTTCCATTTGGTTATGATAGATTTGATGGTGCTCCTGGGGTTCATCAAAGATTTGGACTTTTTTTTTTTTTTTATAACCTAACCCTGCCTTGTACTTCTCAACAACATTGTCCCTTACTTGTTTGGAGAGTTCCTTGGTCTTCATGGCAGTGTTTGGCTAGTGGTGCCTTTTGCTTAGGTGTTGCAGCCTCTGGGGCCTTTCAAAAAAGATGTGTACATGTAATGACAGATCATGTGACACTTAGATTGCACACAGGTGGATATCATTTCACTAATTATGTGACATCTGAAGGTAATTGGTTGCACTAGAGCTTTTTAGGTTTGTATAAAGTAAAAAACTGCTCCAGCAAGAGTAGTTGCACCACATCCTCCAAAGTGGTTGCTTGACACATTAACCAAGTGGCATGCAGCTCGGTGCATCCGGCAAGCCCACTCTGTGTAAGAGTCTTTATCTGCCTTTCTTAGTTTTCTGAATTTTCTGCGGTACGCCACTGGGGTAACAGCATACCTTGCCAAAAGCGCTCATAATTTTGTACATCCTGATCTGGTTTAACCCTGAAGGGGTCAGCAGCCTTCCCTGACAATTTTCCCGCTAGGGTAGGCACCCAGTCTTCCTCCGCTACTTTATGCAGGGCACACTGGTGCTCAAAGTCTGCTAGGTAACCGTCAATCTCTCCCTCTGATTCATTAAAAGCTTTAAATGCACCGAACAGTACCTTTTTTTGTCTCTGGTGTGAAGCTGGGGCTGTTTGTGGGGGATGCTGCTGTTCACTGAATTTTCAGCAGATGAACTTGCAGTGCTCTTTGCGCTTTGGCTTTTGTGTCAGCATTCAAAATAATCCGTAATATGATCTCTGGGGTAGGGTTTGGGCTAAATAGCGACAGCAGTTCCCTGATCTCTCGCATCTGTTCGGTTTCCTCTGCGTGAACAGCGGGGCTCGCCACAGCCAAGTTCTCCCGATCCAGCTCCATTAACTCACTGATGAGAGTCCTCTTTGCTTTGCTGCTGGCAATGCCCCCTCGAGCTTCCAATAACTTCTTTAATGTTGTACGCTTGGGCTGAGCGTACCCAGTCTCCATTTGGTGTACTCCTGGCGACTGTTAGTCTCAGAGTATAGCTCCAGGAAAAGGGACCATCCCACCGCTGCCACCAAATGTGGCGGACCGCCAAAGGTATCTCCGCCATGGATTCCCTTTTTCCAAAATAAAAGCAGCACCAATAATCCTGATTGAAATATCACCAGTATCACATATCCCCCCACACGAGCCAAGGCTTAGTGCTGGGAGTAGAACTGTTTAATGGGCGCACAGTCAGCAAATTCATACAATCAGTAAACTCCTCCCCTGTGCCTGAGAGATAATTGAATCAGGAACTATACAAACTCAATTATCTCCAGGTACAGAAAAGTACCTCCAAAATACATGGAAACCCCGCAAAAGTCTGATCCCTGATCTGAGTGACCATCATATCTAAAAATCACTCAAATCGGTTCGGTAGTTTTAATGGTCTCCATTCAAGGACGTTTTGTATGAAAACCACATAAGTTATACGAAATCTTTTACTTGTAGAATGCTCCCCTTGTTCGGTAGTTTATAACTCCCAAACGCTGTTAGTGTTGATGGTCGGGAACTTGATCGTGCAGCGGGTCCATCTTCACCGGCGTTAGCGGGAATGCCGGGCCGAAATCAGGCAACCCAGTGGAGCATTCTATTAATTATTTCCTCTGAGGTTTTCGTACTGGATACTTAACGTTCCAAGTTCTAATGACGTTCAGGGGTGGTCCTCATCCTCTATCCCCACGACACATACTCTAGAATAGATAATATTTTTCTTAATGGGACTGGGATGACCAAAGTCATACACTCGGAAATAAATAGTATAACTTCTTTTGGAGCAACAGCAATATACATATGTGAGGAAGGCTGAACTTGATGGACGCAAGTCTCTTTTTGGCTATGTAACGAAGTAACTGTGTAACTTGGTCTGCACATGTAGATATCATGGTCACCCTTGTCAAACTTCAGACTGTCATCTGAGGACACCTAATTAAAATGGCCACACATAGAAAATACAATAAAATAAAAACCCTATTGGAACTCCAATCTGCTCTGAGAAACGCAGAACAGCAACACAAGGCTAACCAGACTACGCCCAAACTTAAAGAAATTATGGCCTTAGACACTCTATCAAGGACTTATCCCTTGAGGAAGTGGCCCGCTCAGTGATTTGGTCTAAACGACTATTCTATGAGATAGCAAATAAAATGGACACATTATTTGCCAGAGCCCTGAGATCAAGACAGGGACGCAAACCAATAATCAAAATACAAAAAGACTCTGGTAAACTAGCCACCACACCGGAAGCTGTCAATGGGGTGTTCACGATATATTTTTCAGCCTTATAGAACCATTCCCCACACTTGACGGCAGATGGCCAGGCATACTCCGGTAAGATCCAGGATTTTCTGTTGGGAATCTCACTGCCATAGGTGGCCATGGAAGAAGCAGAAATACTGAAAGCCCCTATCACTTACGATGAAGTAAAAACAGCTACCGTAGCCTTAAAGGGTAATAGAGCCCCTGGACCTGACGGTTACGACATAAGCTATTCCAAACGGTTCAGAGACAAACTGACACAGCTTACCTACTTTATATAACCATTTCATGGAAGGGGGGGGGGAAATGGGAGAGCGGATATCGTACCGTTGACAAAACCAGGCAAGGACGAAACACTGGCCCCTACCTCTGATCAACTCAGACCTCAAAATCTTCAGAAAGATTTTGTCCTCCCAAATTACGCCACTTCTCCCGCGATTTCTGCAGATCTGCTGTGGTGGATGGCAGAATCAAAGTTAGCTTCTCTGGCTGTCTCATTAAACGCCGAGAAGGCTTTTGACAGAGTTACATGGCCATTCTTATTCTGCCTTCTGCGAGCACAGGGCTACCCGGAGCCTTTTGTGATGGCAATTCAAGCACTATATTCTGACGTGCAAGCCTAGACTTTAATAACGGGAGCTGATAGGACCCAATTCCTCTTGGGAAACAGGACGAGACAGGGATGACCCTTCTCCCCACTCCTGCTCGCACGTACTTTAGAGACACTGCTCCACACATTTCGGACACATCCAAACATAAAGGGGGTGGGGTGCTGGGACAACAATACAAAGTGTCGGCCTACACCGATGATGTCCTCTTGACTCTTACAGAACTGCCAGCCTCCATTGCGCACCTGACAACGCTCCTACATAGTTATGGAGAGTTGTCTGCATACAAGGTTAATCTGACTAAATCAGTGGCCATGCCCTTTCACCTTTTCAGCTCCGGACATGGCACTTCTCCAACAGAACTATCAATTCAAAATTTCCGCAGAGGAACTCACCTATTTGGGTGACCATCTGACAGCAGATCCTGCATTGTTATTTAAACGTAATTATATCCCTCTGTTTCACACATTAGGGAGCAAGAACAGTGGACGGAGAAACTGATTTCTTGGGTGGGACGCATGCACGCCATTAAGATGAACGTCCTACCCAGACGGCTATTTCAATTCCAAACCCTGCCGATGAGGGTCAACAGAGGAGAACTAGCAGGGATACAAAAGGCAATAGACATTTTTATATGGCAAAACAAGTGTCCAAGACTGGCCCGCAGCCTCCTGTACAAACCAACAACACTGGGGGAACTGGGGAACTTACTCCACCTGTATTTTTACTACCTGGCAGCACAGTTGACCCAAATAGTTCACTGGCACTCGCCCCCTGATAAATGACAGTGGGTGGATATAGAGTTCGTGATGACAGGAATGGACCTCCCCCAGTTCTACATATGGGTACCAAAACCCAAAGGCCTCTCTTACAGACTACTTGCCCTGCGATTATAAACGTGATCCAAATATGGGAGCAAGCATGGCAAAAATACTACCTTGGAAACCTCCCTTCCCTTTTAACACCAGTTCTGGAACTAAAGGGGAATAGAAGCCATGGGATTGCAGAGATATTACATAGTTACATAGCTGAAAAGAGACTTGCGTCCATCAAGTTCAGCCTTCCTCACAAATGTTTTTGCTGTTGATCCAAAAGAATGCAAAAAACCTAGTCTGAAGCATTTCCAATTTTGCAACAAACCAGGAAAAAAATCCTTCTTGACCCCAAAATATCAGTAAGATGTCTCTTTGGATCAAGCAGCTATTACCTCACGAATTAAAAAATTATATCCCTGTATGTTATGTTTTTGCAGGTATTTATCCAATTGGAGTTTAAACATCTGTATGGACTTTGATAAAACCACCTCTTCAGGCAGAGAATTCCATATCCTTTTTGCTTTAACTGTAAAAAAAACTTTTCTTTGCCATAGATGAAATCTCCTTTCTTCCAGCCTAAATGCGTGACCTTGTATTATGTGATCAAAGGGTGCTTCCCCAGATGTAATAACCATAAAATCAAAGTAAATTACAGATGGTTATACTTATCTTTGTATAACCATCTGTAACTTACTTTGATTTTATGGTCTCTGGGAAATTCCAAATGTGGGACGAAACACATAATACCACAACTACTGCTGTTTTGCAAATTTTATTTGATTTATAATAAAAGCCGCTATTTTATACTACCATCCGGATTCCAGATTTCCTGCTATCCTGCAGACAGTGGAGAGAAATCCATAGCCCCCCAGTTACATTGGGGGAAGGCACCCTTTGAGTGCATAATGCGTCTACATCTTGTGAGTGGATTTTTGTACAGCACACATTATTTGTTAAAATTGTATTACAATAGGAGTGAAAAATTATCCTCATCAAGATCACGCCACTTCTCCATCTAAGAACAGAGGGGTCTCAATATTGGTTAACCAGACACTTGCCTTTTATCAGATATCGGTCCAACGAGATCCACAGGGTAGATTTCTTATTCTTATATGTGTACTAAATAACTCCACCTATACGATAGTTAACTCTTACTTCCCGAATAAGAATCAGCTGAGTTACTTGTCTAATTTATTAGAGGAAGTAGAGAAGGTGCAAACATGAACTTTGATTATTTGTGGAGATTTTAACCATATATTAGATTCTATTGCAGATTCTACAGCTTCTCATACACATAAAAGGAAAAAAGCCCTACAAAAACAATGTAACACACTTAATAAAACATTAGCTGCATATGGATTATATGATATATGGAGAATTTTACACCCAGACGTTAGGGAATTTACATATCACTCAAGTTTATAATACATATTCCTGATTAGATGGTTATTTCATGCTCAGCAAGTAAGTTCCTGTGAGATAGGCATTTAGACACAATCAGATCATAACCCAGTACTACTTACCTTGACAGATTCATATAAATATAAAACCAGAAGTCCATGGAGGTTGAATGAACAGTTGCTTAACGACACCACATTTTTGAATAAGATTCGAAACGAGCTACAGCACTACTTTAGTATAAATGATAATGAAGATACGAACCCTGCTACATTATGGTTGGCTCATAAATCCGTTATACGGGGGATATTATTGAGTAGAGCATCCTTTCTCAAGAAAACAACTCAAACAGCATTGATCACTCTCCTTAAAAAACTACAAGATCTGCATAGAGAAAATCAAGCGAACTCTACCCAAGCTCTTCAACAGCAACTTTTGGAAGTGTGTCAAGAGATTAATGCAATCCATTCCAGGAAAGCTAATTTAGCAATAAAGAAATTAAAGGCGACATCTTACTCTATGGGAAATAAGGCTACTAAAGTTCTGGCACAAAGACTGAGGAACAAACAAGCACAAGCAAGAATTCCATTTATAAAGATGCAAGGAGGCCATATAATTATGCAACCAGTACAGATATGTAATGAATTTGCACAATACTATACGACTATATTATTTGAAAGATCAGCATATTCAATCTCAAACCACATATATATCTATACGTTCATACCTGGCAAACATTGCCCTTCCTCAAATAACACCAAAACATCTAGAAAAACTATGTGCACCTAGCACTACAGATGAAGTGCTGCGCCTAATTGAAAATATGCCAAAAGGGAAAACACCAGGTCCAGATGGATACACTAGTGTATACTATGCTACATTT